AAGACGGTCAGGACAGGAGGAGGGAGGCTGGAGCCTGGAAAGACAACAAGGACATTCAGAAAAACACAGAAAAAAAAAATTAAATCAGTACGACAAAGCATGACAGTGTCAGAAATTAGTTCCTGACAATTACAGTAAACTAAATTATTTAAAATCTACAAAAACATGTATAAATCAAGACCTGAAAAATGAGCATGAGTTGATTTTGGAGCAAAAATTCTTTCCAAATAATAACTTACAATATAAAAACTGAGATAATTTTTGTACTGATAATATTCAGACTGTCTTTGCTTGTGTTGAACAAAATGGCATTTAAATGTTAAAATAATTATTTCAGCTCATGCAATATATTATGGCAAAACACTTACATTTCCTTTGTAATGTCTATGTAGCCGCCATGTTTAAACAATTTCACATATACAGTATACATTTTTATTACATTTAACTAAATCATTCTTAAACATCACAAATACAATAATTTGCTTTTGTGTGACAGCGGGCAAGCAGCCTAAACTTATTGTTTGTGTTTGTATGTTTATTGCAGTAAACTCAGCTTAATGTATTACTGCTATGACTTAACCAGAAGATGTTACATTTAAGTTAGCGCAACTTGAATTATACAGTTATTTGTTCTTATAAAAGCAAAATTAACCTGCTGGATTTTTGAAGGAACTTTTGTCACTTATCAGAAAAAGACATGAGCTTATAAAGCAAAACAATGTGCACTGTAATTGGTGCTAAAGAGAAGAACCCTGAACAACAACTTTTGACCCCAGAATCTGAAACACTGACCTCGTGCGGTTTTCTAATCACACATGTCGTCTGTCTCGGCAGATTTAATCTCCCATCTTCTTTCAGCCTTTGTATGGTAATGAAAATGAATTGCACACTGACTTACCTGCACATTTCTCCTCAAACATACATTGTGCTGTACAGTAATTAGCAGGAGTATTATTACAAATGTTCACATTGCACAGGGGCATCTATCTGAGAGATCACAGATGTGGCACGAAACTGATCCAGAGCCTGTTAACGTTCAGCTTGCTTCTTCTTTTTCTTCAGTCAAGAACTTACTGATATATAACACTACTCTGTCCTCTAGTGCCCTCAGACTGTCTCCCACTGTAACAACACAGCCAAAATTTCAGACACCTTCTTCAGACACCTTCTAAAGGTTCCCCATAAATGACCAGAATACATTTTAAAGTGTTGTGAATGATTGGTTAAAAATGTGTCATGACAAATCACCCAGATGTTAAAGACATATTTTAGATAACTTTAATAGTTCTATTTAGATGACTTGAGAGTTCCCAGTTGTATAGATATTTCATCTGAATCTGAAATACAGACAGAATGCAGCGGGGATTTAAGAACATCCTACACATATGATTGCCAAGTTGCATGTTTACAGTGTTACTTTAAGCAGGAAATATTGTGCAATGTTGCTCAGAATGTTAAATCATTACTCAGTTTGGCTGAGAAAAGACACTTTTCATAGTAGTAGATGCCACAGTGTTGTGTAGCCTGTGCTGTGAAGAACTGAGCAAATAATGCACCCGGAAAAAAAAATCTAAATTGTGAGTGGGGCACATGCCACAAATATTACTGTGTTTAGTCCACATTCAGACATCACGCCACTCATGATCTGAAAGCTCCTGGATCAAAGTAAGGACTCTTGGGTTCACGTGAAGACGAGATGTGCTTGTCTTCTCCACTTTAGTGCCTTTCTCTGGGTTGATGGAGAAAA